AGATTCTGCCTTAAAATGACATACTGACCACCAAACCAAAAATGTCCCCGGTTTTCATTTCAAAAATCTGGTCACTTACGCATAATCAGATATCACACTCATTCTAAACTGCACACACACATTTCTCCATGTGTGCCTATATGAATAAAACAATTCATATCTACATTCACAAAGGATTGACAGCAATGTTTAATATATAATTTATTTAATATGGTGCAACAGATGTATCCTTTCAATCAATTTACAGATTACTAACGTCTTAAGGGCTTAGACTTGTTTTTGTTTGTTTTAATGGTACAACTCCATTTAGCAGTTGCTAATAACTTAGCACACAAATTAAGTTGAGAAGTTGTTGAAAGGAAGTTGTAACAGTCTTCTGTTTTTGAGTTAAAATTAACCACTGACCAGAAGAAGAGATCACATCTCTGTCAGCCAACCAATTTCTCGACTAAGAGAGAGCGTATGTTGTCTGCACATACTGTTAGCCAATTTTGGAGAGGCTGTCACATTTGTAGTCCATACACAAATGCAGCCATGAAAGCAGGAACGGTTGATCCCCTATCAACCCTGGACCAGATGGGATAGTGAACATAGATCCTTTTAAACACTGTAGCTACTGCATTCAGTAGAGCAGGGGGGAAACCCACATGCACTACCCTACATCTACAATGGTCAACTTTGGCAAAGTCAGGAAGACTCTCCAAACGGCAGAGCTTACTTTCTGTGTGTTTGTGTGTGTTAATGTGCAAGAGTGCGGTAGATATTGAGAGAAACAGAAGGAGATAGATGGATCAGGGAGTGAATTCAGGCGAAGGAGAAAAAAAAAGTGAAGAAGAAGCGAGAACAGCCAACCGCAACAAATATGCTGCCAGGCTTAGTATCAGGGTGACAGGTGCATTATCATAGGTTAATGAGAAGCCTAGTGCTGCCTGTAGCTTCAATCAGGGGCGCGCTGCCTCCACTACCACCTCCATCAATCAGATCAGACATAAACTCCCACTCAAGCACCAAGCACACACATTCACAAGCACACATAGACTTAGGTATATGCAGTATGCCAACACATACAGGCACACATACAAACATGCAAACACTCATTCAGTGCAGAGACATCTCATTAAAGCCTGTGGGGTACACTGATACAGCAATATTGTGGCTGTAATTTGTTACAAAAGATTACAGTGTGATTATGAGGTATTTATGGACACAATGAGAGATAATTAGCACCTCAAGCACAGCACTAAGGTGTGATCATCAAAAGATGTTAACTACAGCTGGTACTGCAGTCTGTGATCACTGTGGAAATACACAGATTATTTACTTAAAGGCCCTAAAAGCATTTTCTTCCCAGTCAGATTTCTTATTATGGGTAACGGCATCCTACATGAATATCTTCAGCAAAACAATTAGTTTTCACAGGCTCTGATGGAAAAAGGTGACGTCATGTATTGCGCCAATCGGCATTTAGTATTAAGTATTAGTCAAGTGTCAATCAAAAGATGAAGCAGGCGTGATAGCTTTTTAGTTAATAGGATGTAGAGATGTTTACTTCTAAGGCTGCAACTATGGATTATTTTCATTATCAATTAATCTGCCAATTTCTTTCCAAAATAATTGATTAATCGTTCCATCTAACAATTGTCCAAAAATAGAGAAAAATGTCCATCAGTTTCCCAGAACTAAATCTGACATGTCTTGTTTTGTCAGACCAACAGTTGAAAAAAACCCAAAATTCTTCTGGCTTACTTGGTTTAAAAAATAATTTAAACAATGATTTAAAACCAGGTTTTTAGGTACTTAGGTAAAAATAGCCCAGTACATGTAAACGTTTTGCATTCATGTCAAGCTAAGTAGCATGTTTCCATCATAGGCAGCCAAGCCAACCAAACCAACCAAACAATCGAATAAATTCCTTAATTTTGTATACAGTAAGTACAGGACTTGAGTAAATATACTTAGTTACATTCTACCACTGGAAACGGGCTTTCTTTGCAAGCTGCTACTTATGTGATGTTTTTGTGAAATATGTAATTGGCACCCAGTTGTAGTTCATTTCTCCCTCAGTCCACACTTCCATCTCACCGGACAGGAGCGGAAACTGCGTGTTTTCACATACTCGTATTGCTGATGCTCACCAATGTTTTGCGAGGCAGTGGAGCTGCAGCAGAGTGATTTCAGAGGTCTTTACTCTCTGCAGGCCAAAGAGGCCACATGGAGAGGACAGCTTTCTCTTATCACACTGGATTAGCCCACAAGAGGAATAAGAGAGAAGGGTACAAAGAGGAAGAGAGAGAAAGGAAGGTGGCACTGAGTGTGAGGGAGTATATCATTCTTCGACTGGTGCTGGATACTACAAGCCGCTGGGCAGGAAATGAGGTGGAGGACACCCACTGACCTGCAGCCACTTGCCGCCTCTCAGCCTATCGCAGAAACAATTTAAACAGCTAATGGAACTTCGCTGATCCTCTTTCCATCTCTTACAGGGCCACTGTGACTCATACTGCTCATTTCTGATTAGAGCTCCTCAGGCTTATAAGTAATCTGCATGAGACAGGGGAAAGACCCACATAGTTATGTTATTATACATCTATCAGATGGATATGTGTAAGCGAGTGAGTGCACACTGTTTATGTATGATCCCTGAGAGAGATTTAGAAACAGGAAGGCCAGTGAGGGTCTGTGCAAGAGGAAGGGAACAGGCAGATGGGTCAGTCTCCAGGTGGAGGTGGGGGGTCTAATGTGGGGTGACCAAAGGGCATTTGGGGGTGCTGCCTGGACATGTTCATAACACAACGTGAACAGGATGCTGAGAGGAAGAAGGGCATTCGGGCAACCACAGAGGGCCCCCCACCGTCATCTGCGTGTTGGATGAGCACCAATGGAACGGAGAGCTAACTGAAAACACACACTGATGTTTCAAATCCGCATATTTTTTTAAATAACTCTCCAGGTTACTTCATGCTTCCTGAACATGTGGCCTCGACATCTTCATTATTCATCCTTTTATTTCATTCAGTCTTACCTTCATCATCATCATCTATCCCACTTCGTCTGCCCTGGACTTGCTGATTGACAGTTCTATGAAAAAAAAAACCCAGAGGCTTTCCTTGCTCGCTGTGTTTGGCCTGGACAATGTGTGTGTGTGTGTGTGTGTGTGTACGTGTGTGACATCTGATGAGCACAGCAGCCCTACACTATCCTCCTCCTATATAGGCCCACTTAGTTATTCCACAGCCTTCATATAAAGAAAAGTCTATATCATGTACATAAGGGCTTAACTTAGCTATTAGGGCAGCAACTACGATTATTTTCATTATCTGTTAATCTGCCGATAATTATCTAAATTCATCAATAATAATTTTGTCTATACAGTGTCAGAAAATAGTAAAAAAAAAAAAAAAGTTTCAGTTTCACTATGACGTATGACAAAGAAAAGCACCAAATCCTCACATTTGAGAAGCAGGAGAGAGAAAATGTTTTGCCTTTTTGCTTAAAAGATGACTAAAATGCTTTTCCAATTATCAATATAGCTATAACTGATTAATAGAGTAATGGTTGAAGCTCTATAAGCCATACAAAATGTTTAGATAAAGTAACCATCATAATTTCCCAGAGGTGACATCTTGCTTGTTTTGTTCTGCCAACAATCCAAATGTATTCACTTTACATTGATATGAAACAGAAAAGGACATCAAATCCTCAACTTTTAGCAGCTGGAACCGGCAAATTATTTCCATATTTGTTTGGAAAATAAAGATTACCACTTAAGTTTCAGCAAGAATGCGCACATTTTTACCTTCTAGAGGTGAAACAATGTTGTAGTAAGACTAGAGCGGATTTATCAAGAAACAAAAGACAGCAAGCTATATGGAATATTAATGATTTTATTGGATATACCTTAACTGAACCACAATTTTTCTCATTTCTCCCCTCAATCATGAAAACTGATTCTGATTTCTGTAACTTTTTGATCATACGTCCGAGGGTCATACTGAAAGTGTTACTTTCTTAACTATGACTTGACTATGATGTCAACAAGATTATCCTTATGTCTTGTTGCCCTCGGTTGCCTGATGAAGATCTGAGTCAAAATTGTGCCTTTTTCTTAGTCCAATAATGTCTTGCTTTAATCCAATTTGTGGATTTCTTCCTTCACGTGGCCCACAGTTACTGTTCTGAAGTCCAATATCATGTTTTAAATGAGAAATTGATGTTTGGCGCTTGAAGCACTCAGCATAGACAGAGCCCCCTGATGAGATGTGGCTGTGTTGAGTTACTTGAAAGCAGTCTCCTGAGAGAACACTAAGCTGTACTCATTATACTGAGGTTAAATGTCTTAGACAATAGTGGATTAAAGCAGCAAGGTCCGTGTGGTGACAGTGTTGTTTTGCTTAAAAGCAGTCCTGGTGAGTCAGGGGTGAGATATTAGCTTCTGGCATGACATGACATCATAAAGCTCCCTTTCCTTGATAAGAGTCATTGCACTTAAATCTTACGAGAGGAGCTCTTTTGTATTTGCTTCAGGAAAAATCCTGCTATCAGAGTGAAATAAATGGGATGTGGAGCTCTTTATTCTGTTCAGCCACAGGGTAGTTAGACTAATTTAACAAGAAAACACAAAGACTAAGCTGGGAAATAAAAAGAAAAGAAGAAATGAATTAGCTTAGGAGGTGTAAAAAGGGGATGGTAGTGAAATAAGCAATTTCTTAAGAATCTAAATGAAACCCTATAATTAAACCTGCAGCTTCTACAAATCAGGCTTTCAAAAACATAATGAATCACTGATGAGCAATCTTTCATTTTACACTTAAAACGCCATAACATACTAATTTTGCTCATCTTGTGCAAAAGCTTTTCTGTCTGAGCCTGGGACACTGTTGAATACATACTGCCATCTTCTGGCTCCTTTAGGTACAAAACCTGACAACTGACCAAGGGAAAGATTAAATACATAGTTGTTAATGTCTGTTGTTAAAAAAACAAAATGAAATAAGTTCAACTGATTCTAGTGTGTTCAGGTTTAATAGTTCTCAATAATAACAAGAAACGTTTGTTTTTCAAACATGGCTTACAGCTCCACGAATATTTTTTTTGTAAAACTTTTTTGTAAAAGTGTAAAAATATCTTAAAAACACCATAAAAAAGCCTTCATCACTCATTTAGTTAAATTAATATTTGAATAGAACAGGTCATAAAATAGAGGCCGTAATTCTGACACAACTGACCAGTTGTACCCTCGTTTGTGAGATGGCATGAAAAACTATTAACCAAATAAAAGTGCAATCTATCCACAAAATACGACCATAAATCCAACCATAATAGCGTGTTTGAAATGAAGTGGAAGGACTGATGACGAGCAGAGGAACATTTCTGTGAATCATTTTTAGCAAGGATAGCATGGAATGATGAACAGTCATTTTCTGTTCATAGCGGCTTCTGAAATATGCAGTATTATAATAAAAATGCTAGTTTCCAACATTTTCTCTGCTCTTGCAACCAATAATATAAACCAGGGAAAATTACTTCAGGGAAAATAAACCATGACGCAGAGAAGGGAAAATACATTGCGGTCACACAGCTGCCGTTTTCATGTTATTGCTATGATTTTATCAAAATGACGGCAGGTGTAATGAGCTTAAATAAATAAGTTTGGGGCAGGCGCTATGGTAGGTTGATCTGTTCACAAATTCATGCTACAGAGATTAAAATATAGCGATAGAGAGTGATGTCAGATTCATTCTAAGGGTAATTTCTCAGATTCAGACCAAAATAGTGCAGACGAGCTATTGCTGTGCTCTGTACATCATCAACAACTGACAGGAAATGAAAAACAATTGAACTCTTAAAACAAGAGCATGTGGGTGACAGCTTCTCATATAAAACGCTGACCGAGCACTGAAGTGCCATAACCCCTTACCAAAGTCATATGTACAGCTGTAAAAACAAAACAGAAACGACATGAGAATATAAAAAAAAGAACAAGAAGAAATAAAATACTCACTCAACACATCATACACACACTTACTTCATGCAAAACTAGTCATTTTGTTAAGCTACTCGCTACCAGTCAGACACACCCGAGAAAAGGACAGGGACATGATTTAGACACTAACAGATGATGGATAGAGGGAGGGATGAGGAGGAGGAGGAGGGCTACTGAGTACAAGGAGCTGATGAAAGAAGCCAAAACCTCAACCTCATCAGCCCTGCCCTGGGCCTCTCCTCCACCCTCTGCACCAAAAATACCAGCTGCAGCATCACACAGTGGTATTAATTTCTTGAGAGAGTCTACCATGCACCCACCCTCACCCTCTTGTCTCTCTCTCATCTCCATGCCCCGGAGTCAGAAGATTCTCCGGCTCTCAGCTCACCAAATGTCACTAAAGTGCTCTCTACTACTATGTTAAGCACTTCATTGAGGTCAGCCCAGGAAAACAAAACAACACATATATGAACATTTAAAAAAGAAAAATTACAATAACATCATAAATGTCTCCTTAAAAAAAACAAAATGATAACACAACAACGGTAACTTGTGGACTTACTTCCACCAAGCTTGATTGAGAGGTGTGTGTGTGTTTGTGTGTGTGGGACATACGGGGCGTGAGAAATTTGCACAGCTGTCAAGGCAGGAGAAGCTCAAATGGAGGCGACAGCTGTCTCAATTTGCGTGTGTGTGAGTGTGTTCTTAAGAATGTGAGACAAGGAGAGGGAGACAAAAAGAGTCCATCCATCTGTGTGTGGTGTGTAGCTGGCTCCGTCTTCAGCTCAGTACTTCGGTACTTTGGTATAATCCTCCTGGACGACACTCTTGCACAGACACATGGAGAGGATCATCCCAAGGAGCTGGAGGAAATGGAGTTGTCAACTTAGTAATCAGGGAATATGTAGTTACTCCTCATCACTCCACGCAGATCTGATGTTTGTTACTCTTCAGTGGAGCGGAAGCTTCAGTGATGTTTAAGTCACTTTGCTAAGTCTGTTTTAATTGCACTTTGTTCTTATCGATACACCAACTTTTCCACCTGAGCCAAGTGTTTTTTCAAGTTTTTTCCCCACTAGTCTTTCTTTGTTTTCCACAAAGGTTATGTAATTCACAAATAGAAAATGCACATAAAACAGACTACTGTATCATGTATTTTTTCCAAATCTGTGTTAAAACAATGCTCACAAGCTTTTATGTATGTTGAAATCAGGGCTGCAACGAACTAAATTAACATCATAATCAATTAAACTACCAATTATTTACTTAATAAATTGCTCGGCCTATTAAATGCCAGAGGATAGTAAAAAATGCCCATTAAAAGTTCCCCGAAGGCCTAAAGTGATGTCATGCAAGTGTTTGTTTTGTCTGACCAACACTCCAAAACCTAACAAGACAAGGCAAAGAAAAGCAGCAAATCCTCACCTTCTGGAAGCGGGAACAAGAGATTACTCAATCATGAAAATAGGTGCTTGTTATTTTCATGTCAATCGACTAATCGTTTGATCAAGTAATCGTTTCAGCTCTAGTTAAGAGTTTTTGGTTTGCTGTAATCTCTCCTCTAATCTCTCCTCTCCATTGCGGCAAGAAAGTGGCCCCTTCCTCACTGTAAAAGATGGGAGGACAAAATCCACACTCCTTGTTCTGGGTAAAATTGCATTCCAAAGAGCAGCTTAAGTTTATATGAGGCTTCAAAAGTCAGATTTTGACAAACCTAGCTGGTAGTTGGAAACAAACCCACATGCAACTAGCATGAGATATCTCTTCACCATGGCTCAGCAAGGAAACACCATCTGTGGACGATACCCTTTTGATTTTGTGAGGGAACAGTTCAGTATTTTGGGAAATATGCTTATTCACTTTCTAGCCAAGTGTTAAGTGCTCTCAGCAAGAAAGCAGAGTACTTTTAAGACATGACATTTATGAGATACCAATCTCGTGTCTCTTAGTTAAATGTGAAGCTGGAGCCAGGAGATGGTTAGAATAGCTTAACATAGCTTAGCTCAGCAAGACTGGAAGACTGGAATATGTCTACCAGCACCTCTACAGCTCAAAAATATAAGTGTGAAAACAACACATGGTTTTATGGAGAAGTTATGTACAGAGTCAGGTTAGCTGTGACCTTAACTGGCTGCTGGCTGCAGCTTCATATTTAACAGGCAGACATGAGAGTGGCATCAATCTCTCAATCATCAAACTCTTGGCAAAAAAGCAAACAGGCACATTTCCCAAAACAGTGAATTATTCCTTTAACTCTGACTTTTGCCTCATATGAGCTTTGGCTGAACTAAGAATACAGTTTTTGCGTGGATTTTGTCCCCCAAATTTTACAATGGAGTTGCGTCAGGGAGGGATTGATTCATAGCCGGTATGAACAGGAGGAATGATAACAGTGAAGTTCTTTTGACATGCAGTGCATATGGCATATGGAGAATATGATATTAAGATATTCTTGAAAACTAGAACTCATCCTTTCATGCTAGTCAGAGCAAGAGATAGATACCTCCACTACTGCCACACCGACACAGATTCCCAGAATAACGCCACAGTTTTCCAGGAGCCATTTCTCCACGCTAGTCATACAGCCCTAGAGGAGAGAACCAGAGAGGGAGAGAGAAAGAGAGAAAAGTTAAGAAAGACAGTTGGGGGGTGGGGGGAAGCAGAGGAGAAATGAATGGCTTTGTGATCCCTGCCGGACATGAGCAGAGCCTTTTCAAAACACAACTGTTGGCTTTGGACTGAGTCAGAGAGGGGAAGAATAACACGGCTTAGTTGAGCTGAGTAAAACAGTAGAGTGAGAGAGAGAGTAAAGCTTTGCTGGTGTTTGAACAAATCACACAGCACAAACAACATGCCTCAGCAGTCCATATTCACTGTGCTGATTAAGAACGACCACACCAAGCTGGCAGAGTTACGCAACACGAGTCATACCGACTTACGTAATGAGAAAAGGTGTAAGGTCTATGAGGAAAATGCAGGCATGCTCTAGTATTTTTCACCCAGCTGAAGTAACACGGGACAGGGTCTGGTGGCATTTACAAATAAAATGTTACCATTCATGTGAACCTCAGTGGGGCTGGGTATTACAGAAGACAGCGCGCATTGTGTCAGGTAAGACTTCCTGTGACTGTCAAAACATTTTAGCGCTCACTTACTGTCCGATGTCGCAAACCTTATCATAAAGACTTAATGTTGAGCCAACAAGAGATTCAAATACATTCAAATGCGTTATGTTCGCTTTTGTTATGTTCACTTAAAAAGGTACAGGTACAGTGAGTCTGCAGATTGCAACCACCTAAATACCGCTCGCCTCACTCGCAAAAAACACAAAACGCCCTTTCAAGAGCCAGTGCTTGCTTTGTCTGATAATACTCTAATGAAAACATACTTACAAATATTTTATTCCATTTCTGCCAATAGATCCTCCCCGAAATGTTAGACATTGGACTTGGAAGATATTGCGTGTGAAAGCGAAATTGGCTGAAATATTGAACTATGATTTTCAAGAAGTCTTTATAGTAGTTGAATCATGGCTGGTCATCAACCAAAATTTCAACACAGTAAGAACCTCTCAAAGACAGTGGTTGGTTCAGCACAGTGGGACAGACTGCAGTTTCAAACAGTGCCTGAGTGAGCGAGTGACCACAAAAATGATGAACCAAGTGGGCACAGTTGGAAGGATTTTACAATTAATCACAGAATTATGCTTCTCTATAAAAAAAATGTATTTGCATATACCGTTTGAGTAATGTATGTCATGATGCCAGACTGAACCGAGATGGGACAATAGGATAAACAGCTGTTCAGTAAAATTCACAATTATGATTTTCAGACAGATTTTGAACCTTAGTGCAGAAACAGCACTGCAGATTTTAGATGTACCATTTGATAGATGGGCGTGCCTGCAGACAGGTGCTCACACAGGCCGACATGCTTGATGTCCGTGCCAGGCAGGGACTCATTGCGACAGGAACATGGGTAGAGGTTCTGGGAGCTGTTCTTGATCAAAATGTTCTCAGACCAGTAACCCGGACTAGTCCATCCACAGCACTCCATCTGGTGATATGAAAGAGAGGGAGGATGTGAGTTAAAACATTAGGAGATAAAGAGAAAGAGCAGAGCAAGCTTGCTTCAGAGCCATTTTTATTTGCTATGCTCTGACTAGTTTAATGAGTCAGTCCATGCAAAGGACAAAAAAAAGAAAGAAAAAAAAAGCCCAACAAAATCCCCCACATTTCCTCACCAGTCATGCATTTCATTTCAGTCTTAGGTGCTGAGATTCTGAGATATCCTTCTCTGAAACCTCTGCTGCCAGCCAGAAAACAACAGAAGTGAATGGAATTTTGTTTGTTTTCCTCAAAGGATTGAAACTTTAAATTAGAAAAACTCAACGTGCTTTACTTGAAACGTCTCAGTTATTCAGGATAAACGCATATTAAAAGTTTACATAGGGACTATTTCTTCAGTAGATTAGATGCAGTAGATAGTTCAGATGAAAACTGTTCACTGTGAGGTCTGTGGGTTATCTTAAGTGAGCCTCAAAGTTGCTGTTGAGTAATTTAAAAGTACTTTTTCAATGTTTGAGCACCCTTTATAAAATGCCAATCATGTGCAATTGTATTGGGGTGGAGGCAGAAAACTTAAGAGACTAATTTCAAAACCTAGGCAAATAAAACCAAAACTACCTACTTGTAACGTGACGTTGAAGCATGGCTCTGTATACTACGCTGAGTTTGTGTCCTATCACTTGGACCATAATTAGGGGCTACCAAGCTTAATTTCTAGTCAGAGATATTGATGAAAAGAACTACACACAAGCGTCAACAGGCTCCACTGCTGGCCAGTTACATGTAAATAAAATCTAACACCAATAATCGATTTTGTTAATTTAAAAAGGAGCTGTACAGTTTGTTTGTATTTGGTCCCATTTTTCAATGAACTGCTCCAAAACGTGCAAAACTAGCTTATTTAGGCAATTTAAATCATGAGACTGAAGTTTTCCTGTTCTTCACATTCTGCCGACATTGTGTGGATGCAGCATTACAATAGAAAGAACATGTGACCAGTACTGAAAGGTTAAAAGTTTAATTCACATGGGAGACACCCATTCTAAAAATATATGCACTCATGTTACTCTAAGAGTCACTTCAGATAACAACTCTGACCAAATTTCATATGTTAAGGCTCGTGCAGACTACATGACTTTCAGCGTCGGCAGATCACCGTGCTGTTCAGACTACACATGCCGTCTTATGAAGTCTTGAAGTCGTGGCGTTCACACAACGTGACTAATCTACGCAAGCTGAATGCGGCTGTGTCACGGGCTGCTTATCAAACTAAAGGGGTATTAATGGCATGCAAACCGTCACTTTATTGAAGCAAACTTGTTTGATACATTTAGTTTATTCATTTCAATTTTCAGCACTGCAGAAAAATTGAAAGGCTGGATTTCATCTGTTAAGAAGCACTAGACCTCTGTGAGTGTGTTGGTTAAAGAAGTCAACTCACCGTCCTCTGAATGTAGTCCCAGGTGTGCTCTGTGGTCCTGTTCTGGCCAGTGTAGTGGATTATCATGCCCTTTATGATGTTGGACATCTCATATTTCAACTGGGAATGAGATGAGAATATACCATCAACAGTGCAAGTGTCAGACCAATACTGGTTACTTGTTTTTAGTTGATACAAAATACTATAAATAGCTGTACATATATCAATATGAGGGTGCATGTTTGTATGCAAGCCATAAAAAGAGTCAGATTGCCCACATTGCAATCTTTTGTGCACAGTAGAGAGACAGTGTTGAAGAAAAGAAAACAAACACACCCATGCTAAATATTTTTTGAAAATTTACTAGCAACATCTGAACTTAATGTTTCTTAGGGCAACACCTCGGGTGGTATTGCCCTGCGAAGTCCCATGCTGGGCTGAAACATTGCACAAATGCAGCTCAGCAGGACCATGACTCTGTTTATGTGTGAGACCACAGAGCAGTGGCAGCAATGTATCTTCAGAGCTCTGAAGGAGATGAGTGACCGCCTCACCCTATTCTGGGAGAGAGCACCACCCTGCTCTGTGGTGAGCCTTAAACACAGGGAGCGCGTCTAAAGCTACAACACGCACACGCTCTCAGCGATACACACAAACATACGTATATGCACATGTGCAAGTGCTGGAGGGCTAACAGTTGAAAGGGCCTCCGCCTATCCTGAGTCACGCAGGTGTGAGGTTTATCAAGGGAAAGGCGTTTTATGTCCTGAAACCGGTCGAAGAGGTTTCATACAAACACATTAATGAATTTAATTTTAATGAATTTAATAAGTCATTTAGCTGTTATCCAAAGCGACTTACAATTGCAATATATATCAAAGGTCAAGTGCCTCTGGAGCATGTGGATGCACGTGGATGTGTTTTATCCACTACACCATCACCACCCCAACACATATGGCTGGTTCTATTTTTTAGGCTGGTTGCCATTATTGATTTGACCCCAGATTCAAAAGAACAGGTTTTAGAGGAAAAACCCAGGAGGAGAGTTAAAACCTTCCTCTGTCTGACGGTCACCTCCATTTATGGTGTATTCTGTAACTTAAAAAGTGCTTTTGGTGACCTGTTAAAGATGCCTAATTGTTCCACAGATGTAAAACTCACAAACAACGTGATATTTGGATGTGTTCTATAATATTCGATGCATTTCTGAGATCTGTCCGCAATGGTTTTTTTCTTGGTTTGGTTTCAAATGTTCTTGTCTTTTTTAGGTGACTATCACATCACTTGTGATTTGTATTTTAACGTATTGGTTAGGCAGGGTCTTGAGCAAAACTATCCTCTTGAAAAGTGTTAGTGTTGTTGCTGGCTGGTTTCTCCAAAAATGTAAAAACAACCTAGCTTTTAGCTTTTAAAAAAAATGTTTTTAGATAATCCACTGGTCTTTTAATGATTTATTTAGCTTAAGAAGTAGGAGAGTCACACGGTTTGACAATCTTTGGTTTGTTGTGACCTGTCAGACTCCTCAATAAAAGTGTATGTGCGCCCAAAAGCCAAAAATGGCGCACGCCAAAAAATATCCAGACTTATAAAACCGTGCGAACGCACACTTGTTAGCAAGTTCCCTTTACAATCTACTTGAAATGTGGCGCATGTGAAGGAGCTCCATGTCCGACCCTTCAAACGCCCATAGTTGCCTATAAATGGTCAGTGAAACACCCCTCATTAATATTAATACGTACTGATTGCAGGAAGAAAAGGAGGCAAAATCTGACAGAAAAGCTACAAAATGAAATTTAACTCAGTGTGACACTGATGTTTCTTTTGGTGAAGCTGAAGCTGGGTAAAAAATGCACTTTCACACAACGCTTGTGTACTGGAGGAAAGGGGGCACCAGAGCTTCACCCCCTTATAACCGACCTGCAGGATGGGGCATCCCTCTTTTGAGTAGTGACGTCACTGACTGGAGGGACACACACACACACACACACACGCAAGACGGGATGACCCAGGTACTAATTTGGATTCCCCCGTTTGAAAAGAGATTAAACCAAATGCATTCTGCTTGTGTTTGAACATTTATTTAGGCTACCCAAACAGTGCACTCAGTTAATGAGGCTGCCGATGAGTTAAAAGAAATATGACTTGTTGTAAATGACATAAAATAGCGTTATATTTCCATAATGTGTTTTTACAAGCTACACATCACATCCACACGATGGTGCACAGCGTTTGGCTCAAAAAGGCAACACACATCTGATAACAATAGGCAATATAAAACTGCACTCGTATTTGCTCATCTGACACATTGAAAACGGTATCAATTTAAATGTACTTGTCCTCCTGTTCACCTTATGTATGAGAATAAATTGCACTGCATGCAAGTAGGCCTATAACTTAATATGATTCCTGATTAAACTGTCCAACATATTTGAGGTGTTCTTTTGCACAAACAGATACAATCAGGTCCATAAATATTGGGATAATTCTAATCTTTTTGGCTCTATACACCACCACAATGGATTTGAAATTAAACGAACAAGATGTGCTTTAACGGCAGACTTTCAGCTTTAATTTTAGGGTATTTACATCCAAATCAGGTGAACGGTGTAGGAATTACAACAGTTTGTATATGTGCCTCCCACTTTTTAAGGGACCAAAAGTAATGGGACAGATTAACAATCATAAATCAAACTTTCATTTTTAATACTTGGTTGCAAATCCTTTGCAGTCAATTACAGCCTGAAGTCTGGAACGCAGAGACATCACCAGACGCTGGGTTTCAGCCCTGTTGATGCTCTGACAGGCCTCTACTGCAACCGTCTTCAGTTACTGCTTGTTCTTGGGGCATTTTCCCTTCAGTTTTGTCTTCAGCAAGTGAAATGCATGCTCAATCGGATTCAGGTCAGGCGATTTACTAGGCCATTGCATAACATTCCACTTCTTTCCCTTAAAAAACTTTGGTTGCTTTTGCAGTATGCTTCGGGTCATTGTCCATCTGCACTGTGAAGCGCCGTCCAATGAGTTATGAAGCATTTGGCTGAATATGAGCAGATAATATTGCCCGAAACACTTCAGAATTCATCCTGCTGCTTTTGTCAGCAGTCACATCATCAATAAATACAAGAGAACCAGTTCCATTGGCAGCCATACATGCCCACGCCATGACACTACCACCACCATGCTTCACTGATGAGGTGGTATGCTTTGGATCATGAGCAGTTCCTTTCCTTCTCCATACTCTTCTCTTCCCATCACTCTGGTACAAGTTGATCTTTGTCTCATCTGTCCATAGGCTTTTTTAGGGGTTGTTTGGCAAACTCTAATCTGGCCTTCCTGTTTTTGAGGCTCACCAATGGTTTACATCTTGTGGTGATCCCTCTGTATTCACTCTGGTGAAGTCTTCTCTTGATTGTTGACTTTGACACACATACAGCTACCTCCTGGAGAGTGTTCTTGATCTGGCCAACTGTTGTGAAGGGTGTTTTCTTCACCAGGGAAAGAATTCTTCGGTCACCCAGCATAGTTGTTTTCCGTGGTTTATTATCCTCGGTCATGGTTTGTTTTGTGCGCCGCAAATGATCAATGATGTTTTTTTTATTGCGCACTTCAGGGAAAATCAATCAAATTATTATTTAGAAAGGCTTTAAGCCTATACTACTCCGAGGTAATATTTCGATATATTTTACACAGTAGTAGGCCTATTCATTCCAGTTTCATCCTTCTGCCATGTGAGTGGCCGTTTCTCATTTCTCCTCTTTATGTGCGGACACATGGTTCAGAGTTTACTTATGGGACGCACATTTTCCCGTCAAGTTTGTTTTTTATAGATCACAACCTTTGCTTGGGAAGTGGCGTACGCACGTTTCCAGCCCTGTTTTGTACGTACCCACTGTTCATAAGTGAGACCCCTGGTGAGTTGGTGATCCTGCCTGTAGGGGGCACCGCTTTATCAAGGATTTCGGTATAAAGTGGTTTCTGGGGTGATAATTACGGTCTTAAATGGGGCAGTGTTGGACATACCAATATAATGTGTCAGAATATGACAGCAACGTTACCAACATTCATTCAGCATTCATTTGTTAGCCCTCTCCCTCTAACATAAAAAAAACAAACAAAAACCCCGGAGGGGGAGCTGAGCCAACAATGGAAAAATTCAGTATTAAGAGCCTGCCTTCTACTTCCTTTACAGTTGTCACACATCTCCTTCAGTCCACCTGCTTCATCTCACTTTCTACCAGCATCCAACGTCACATCAGTGACAAACCGACACCCTCTCACTTTCCACTCGTCAAGGTACAAAACTGTGATTCATCACAGGATGCAGGGGGCTCATTAACATGTTTAGCTAAGACCTAAATGCAGCCAGTCACACAACTGAGGAGACGAGAACCATGAAAAACCAGTGGGAGGGAGAGGAGGGGTTAAATGGTGAAAAAGATAAAATCAGGACAGAGTACAAAAAGAGGAATAAAACTAAGAAGACTAAAAAAAACACACTGAATAGACAAGAGGATAAATTATGAAGAAGTGAAATTAACAAAAACGGGAAGAGCAAAAGGTAGACTGATTAAGTACATTAAAAGGTAGCATCTTACCCGATCTCTTTGAAAGTAAATGAGAACTCCAGCAGTGACCTGGGCGATGAGGATGAGCAGGAGGCAGGTGAAGTACTGTGGAAAATGTCAGTATAAACATTTACAATAAATACTTTTAAAACACTGGCAACACTGCAGGAAATCAATAACCTCCTATTACTATTATGTAACATTAGACATTATGTACTATTATGTAAAATTAAATAAATAAAATAATTTAAGCAGATTTAATCGAAAGTATCAAATGACAATGTGAAAACAATGTGAGAATGTTTAAGGTGTTGCTCATGGTGAATAACCTACAGAGAATTATCACCAGAACCACTCCCCTCAGATTTTTCCAGCTTTATAGCGAGTTTCTGCTCTTTGTGCAGCTGTCAGGCCTACAACCTCAATGTTTTGGTGCAAAAAACCCTCTGTACACTACCTATGACTAGCTGGTGAACATAGTGGAGCATGTATCAGCTAAAGAGCCAGATATTTCTCTCAGGAGTTGGCGGAGACCAAAAACAGAGTGAAAAAATAGTTAATATTGGACTTCAGGTGGACATAAACACAACTCCAATGCAACTTGTATGCGTAAAGAATAAACTATTTGCTAACAAGTTGATCAGATCAACTTTGCCGATAATTTGTGTTCACAACTTGTTTCTATCCAAAAAGTCAGTTATTGCAAGTAAAAAAAAACACATTATATAACAAACTAGCAGACAAGAAGATTAAACACACTCTTGGGTAGATTTTTACCATTCATTTTAAATTATCATTAATCAGTGTTTAGAGTCTTAAACATAATCTCTAAAGCTTTCTGCAAGAATAATGTAAGCCATTCAAGACCCTTCCTCAGCCTCCCTGAGTGGAAAGGTGGTGTGTGTGATGGGGTGGGGTGGGGTGGGGGGGTTCCTCTGCCAGCTGGTCACTGTCGCTGGGAGAAGTAGGTCACAGCAGTTCTTCAGTTAACCCTAGCAGGTTTAACGCTGTAGAGGTCATGCACCCATCCCCACTCTTGTTTTACTCCCTATATCTCACTGGCTTTACCCGTCAACCCCCGTCCCACTCTCCTCTGTAAATTCACACATGCTGCGAAGCCCCGGCCCACACATAAGAAGAAATGCAAAAAGGCTTTACTGTCAGCAAGAATTTATCATGTGTTCTTAGCTAGGCTTGAGAGCTCAAACAGGTGCATGCAAATGAATATTTAATGCTAAAGTACAGTAACTTAAAATAATATAACTTGCGGATAATAATCTGTGGATACGAGGGACGGGTGATATGGCCCTAAAATAATATCACAATATTTCAGGGTATTTCTGCAATAATGATATTCTTAATGGTAAAATACTAAAAATATTTTTTTGGTTTAGATCTCCCAATAGCTGTTGAACTCTCCTCGCGGGAGCTACTCGTACTCAACCAGGTGCTTCTGCTTGAGGAGGTGAAATTTTGTTGTTACAGTCTTCTTGCACTTCTCACACATTACTGTGGTTTTGTTGTAGATCTGATCTTTGTAACCACACCACTTCCACTCTCCTGAACTCAAGTTGCAATGTTACTTTTGGTTTCAGTCGTTCTTGTTGTTGCAGTTAAGTGTAACGGTATGATGACATTACGTCAACATGTCTAAAGTTGCCATTATCACAATGGAATTTTTAAAAATCATGTACAAAATTACTCCATTATGTCTCGCTGTGGTGGTAACCCTATATGAGCCTCTTAGTAAATGAAACTAAGCTGTAGCGTGTTAGCTTAAAGTGAATGTAATTCCTCACCACACCCAGCAGACAACGAATTTCGTAGATGGCTCCTATGCAGCCGAAGAATCCCATGCCCATTGATAAGGAACCCACCCCAATGAGGATGTAGGAAGCCACTTTGATCGAGTTTGATGACTCCTCTGGAGAAAACATATGTAAACAGAAAGAGAAACAAAAGAGTTCAACTTACACATAAACATTACACTGAAAGCTATACGGAAGCTGCAAACTACGCACCTGCTTCAACAGTTAAATTCAGTTCTTTGGTTAAGCTTCACTGCTTTTTTTTTTAAGACAAAAAACACAACCACTTAGCCCACATGATTTTTCAAAATAGAATTACAGAAGCAGGGCCATGTTCTTGTTTTTCTACTTTAACCACAGTGTGTGCCTGCAAACAAATGCAGCTCAATAGAAGGCCTAGTTCACATGCAAAACCATTTTCATACAGCTAGTCAAAAATGATTCAGGCTACAAACCTTCTCTTTCCTTCTCTGAATTCAGAGCATTATAGTGCTTTTCTCCCAGGAAAGATTATTTTAATAGCCCACCAGAGAGAGTTGGACCAAGACAAGCCAACGTGTGGCGAGATTAATTGATTTCCCTCTTTGGTATGTAGAGCGAGAGAGCTGCAGCAGGAGGAGGAGGGGGGCAGGGACTGAAATGGAAGATTGGAAGGATAGAGAGGAGATAAACTGGAGCCATTAGGTGTCTGTGTGTTATCTGGTCTGGAGGAGCTCCAGAAAGTCCGAGCTCGGTCTAAAGATGAAGCCAGAATCTGAGTTCTGTGAAATGGCTCCAACTCCTAAAGATTCCTGGGCCAAGCAAACAAGAGCAATCAGACAACTCACTCCCATCCATTTGGTGATGGAGCTGACAGACACAGCAGCTCCTCCACCGCTGCTCAATGAATATAATGCAATGCTGTTTCTAGGCTTGCTTACTAGGAAGATAAATAGATGTGATTATTTCAACTTCCCTCTATCGTATTAGCTGCTAATTTATGCAGAAATCATCATACACAGTATACCCTCTATCTGATGCACAATGAATATAAATCCCATTACAGACTATAAAAACAAGTTGTCTTTCACAATACCATTCTTACATCCTATATGGAATCTATAGTTGTAAACTGTTAATAAATGATGAATCAATCAACAGAACATTAATCGACAAAATTGTTGATAATAGAGTGATAATTTAAGTAATTTTAAAGCAAAAAAAAAATCTCATCCAATGTGAGGATTTGCTCCTTATCTCTGTTATCATGTAATATCACTGTACAGTAAATAGCTTTGAGTTTTGGGCTGTTGGTCGGACAATAACAAAACCACCATTGGTCAGTCTTTTGACATTTTTATAGACCAAAATGAATCAATGAATCAATGAATCAATGAATAATAATAACAACAACAACAACAACAACATAATGAAAACAATCATTAGTTGCAATCCTAATGCAAAAATAAATATATCACGTAATAATATAATTTGTACAAGATTACGTAGTGTACTGAGACACTTAAATATAACTATTTACAATACAGACACAAGAGGCACATGTTTGCACAAAGACGTCATTACATGCATGTACATCTGACTCTAAATGGGTTACCAGAGTAGCGCAGGTTGCGGTGGCTTGAGAATACTTGGAAGCTAAAAGTATTTTTAGCTGAACATATGCAGAGGATTTATGTGGCTACAGGGTAGCATTTAAAGGGAGACAGACTAGCATATTATATGTTCTATATCTGGCCCTGCTGAAGCATGTTATTTCTCTCTCTCTCTTTTTCGAATCCAGTGTCTGCAAAAGCAACAGATGTGTACATGTTCCTTAACAAAAAGGATTTACCTGAAGTATTTGGGAAGATGCATTAAATAGTTTAACTAGCATATTCAGTGACTGTCAAGAAACTGAGTGAGTCAACTGAAATACACTGAACATGAGAGTTGCCAAACCAAAGTATTCAAGTCATTGCTGTATGTCTAGTCAGTGGCATAAGAGAGCAATATCTACAAGACAGGAATCAGTGACGTGAAGTGCTGGACTGGGACTGCATGATACATGTTCGCAGTTTTTTCTGCTAGAATGTATGATAAATGTATTTCCAATGTTTGCTGAAAGGAGCAATCCTTGCCCTACTCTTAGGGCATGAGACACATAATCTGTAAAATATACATCAAGTTTCTCAGGCTCCTCTGACTTGCTTGACTTGATTGGTTGTTTTGACCACTCCCGGGTCAAAACAACCAATCAAGCTGCATAGCCGCCCTCCTCGCGCATGCTCTTACTCAGTCCAGCTCAATATCTTTAAAGTGTGGCATAAGACAAACAACCAACCAGCATTTAAAGAACTACCCTCCTTTGCCAACAACAGTGTATAGTACAAAACACATGTTTGATCACATCCTAGCTCTACGCACTCTCTATCAACTAAAGGCAAAGAGGTATGATGGCAAACAGTGGTGAGGACAGTGGTGGACTAGCCTCTCATCCCTGCTATTAGATGTTTTCACCGCTGCCAGTTTTCCAATGTTCTTGGCATGTTATGGCAATACATCTAATCTTTGGATTGACCTGACTATTTCCTCTAACATCAAGTATAATCAGTAGCTTCTTAGTTTCAATATGTTTAATAAATGAAACATATGCAGGGGATGTTAACTGCTATTTCTATCCTACATTCTTAAAATGAAATCTTTTAAAACTCATAAAAGTGTTTCCTCTCAGACCCTCTGCCAGGTGTATCAAAGTTACAGAGCAACAGATACTGCACTTTACAACGTTCCGGCTGTAGATCTATGTCTATGTCATCTGTGGTAACTTTTTTCTGGAGTCAGCATGTGTTCGCCTTGTTACTGTGCTGCTCTGCTCTGTAATATGGCACAGTTCCATGTAAATATCTATAATATAGTTTATAGGTGGTTTCCATGAAACTTTCTATTTCTATTCTGTAAACATGGCCAGAGCCACAGATTCAGCTTGTATAGAGTAGAAAAATCACAGTTGATAATATGTACAGATTTAAAATATAAACACAGGTACATCAACTTTGTGCTGAATTTCTAGAATTTAAGCTGCCAAACGAAAAAGAATCCAACCAAGTTCTCTTTTCTTTGTTCATGCCTTTGGAAAGTTTCTGAATTAATCTGCAGCATATTTCTAAACTCTGCTTTGGCACACTCTCTGGCTCACAGACCTCCTTTCCCAAGCTGTCTTTGTTTAAACATATGCCAGCAAGATAAACTCAAGGCATCATGTCAGGGAGGTAAACTATTGACAGCACTGTATTGAACTAGAGACGTGTGCATTGAGGGGAAGATGCCCTTTTAACTGGAAAATAGGGGGCCTGAAACCAAAACATTCCCAAAGTTCCCCTGCCTGAAGTCATTGGGACATCTGCAGAGGCCTCTATTAATATAACTCATAAAGAATGGAAACTGAAAACACACAGATCCTGTTTATGGTCAGGCAACGGTACAACTTCTGAGGGGAACACACAGAGTCAATAAACAGAGTTGCCTGCAGCTTTGGTTTTTGTTCCTCTACAGGGTGGTAAGAGATTTCCAGTTAGGTTAGAAATCTAGAGACCCAGGGAGGAGTTGAGGTTGACCCATCCTGGGTACAGGCAACAAAAATACATGAATGAGAGGTCATCAAGCCCCACATAGGAAGGGATATCCTCAGGGTATCAGAGAAGCAGGATCTCTGCTATCTCTCGGGGAAACAGCTGGATTATCATAACAATAGGACTGGGGCTAGCAGGGATGATGGATACTGTACTGCATTTGTGTTCTGCAAGCCTGACTGGAGATAAGCAAACTTGTCTCAATAATAACCTTGGAGTGATTCCTCGCTGAGTAGTGACCTCGAGAGGTGAAATATGAGCCAGAGGAAGACAAGACTCAGTCTGACTAGTTTAGGACACAAGGTCAGTTTTGGTTGGTCTTCGTCAAAACTCCAGAGTTTTTACAACTCATCAGTCAAAGCAGCACAGACCTCCAGCCTAAATATAGATTTCTCCAGCTCTGCTCAGCCCCCTTTCTCATTGGACAGTATACCAGTTTTATGTTCTGCCATTTTGCAATACTTACTGGAGGACGTGATAAATGTTTTAGCATATTAAAACTATAATGCTTTAGATGCAATAACATGCAGGTAGAGGGCTATGCACACTCATAGAACTGGAGTTACATCCAGTAACTACTATTTTCCTCGCTTATGCAGTCTAGTAACACAAAAGTACGGAAGGTAGCGTTACGATAATTTTCACCGTTGATTAATCCACTGATGATTTTCTTGTTTCATCAGATCGCTATGTCTATAAAATTATAAAAATTACCTACCACAACATCCCAGAGCTCAAAATTCTGTCTTCAGTTAATTTATTTTGTCAGATCAATAGTCCAAAACTTAAAGATATTATGTTTACAGTGATATAAAATATCAAATCCTCACGTTTAAGAAGCTGGCACCAGAAACCATTTAGCATTTATGCTTAGCGATTAACTTAAACATCCATCCATCCATCCATCATCAACCGCTTATCCTGCGTACAGGGGCTGGAGCCAATCCCAGCTGACATCGGGCGAAAGGCGGGGTACACCCTGGACAGGTCACCAGTCAAAAATAGTTATTCGCTCTTGTTAAATATTGTCTGTATAAAAGCAGTAAATCTGGCACAGTTACCGCGTTGGTTTAACACTCATCATCAGTCCTAGCTTTGCGACCCACGTCATATGAGAAATGTGTATCATGGTCTCATTGAAAGAAATGCTGTATTTGACTTCCAACACATATTAAGTTGCCAGAAAATAAATTAAAAGAATTCTTCTTTATAGGCTGATGTTGGGAGAAAAACTCACTGCTGCTCTCGGCAATGCTCCATCTGGGATGAATACACTGAAAGCATTTATAACAAGATTTATGGCAACTAAGAGTTTCCATCGGTTGTTCCCTGTTCTTTTCATGCAAGGCTGGAACTGGGTTTAATTATGCTTTCTCTAGTGTTTTCACAGCAGATAACCTACGTTACACATTTTGTTGTCTATGACAAAGATGATAACTACGCCATGTAGGAGATTGGTTTCTTTTTCACATGTTGTGTCTACAAATAGATCTGTGACTACTTCGGTGAGGGTGGGAGATTCTATCTGTGCACCTCTGCTGTCTGGAGAGCTGAGAGAACCCAGCAAGTTCAAAGTACAACTCTGTGGAAAAATTGAGGAGGGGTAGTCTGTATGTCAACAGGTCAGCTTTTGAGTGGCTGAGGAAGTCATTAAGTTTCATCTGTGAGTCACAGTTTTTGTTTGGTATGAACATCCCTTTGTGGTTTCTTGGGAATGATTCCTATAGGATAAATTCCACATAAGCTATACAGAGTAGGCCAGAGGTTTTAGGATTTGACAAGCATACTCTCCAAGGTCTCAGACCAGATGTATTGGCATGGGTCAAAAGTGCTGAATGTTTGCTGACGTGAATGTTATCACTACAGGACGTGGCAGCAAGACTGTGGATGTGTGTGTGTGTGTGTGTGTGTGTGTGTGTGTGAGTGAATGTTACAACACTTACGTAGAACAGCAATGAAGCTCTGGTTATCAAAGAGGACCCACAGGCCAAAGCCCGTGATCAATGCTCCGAAGATCTGTAGAGGGGAAAGAGAAAAGAATCAGGCACCAGTTTGAGAGCGAAACACAGAATTTGTGCTGGTGTGTCTTGAACAGAGGGCCTTATTTCTGCTTACTCAGTCTGTCACATCTGGGATTCATCAGATCCTAACTCTGCTTGTCTCTTTCTCTCACAGCAATGTGCAGAGGGAAAAAATATGTGGAGAGGATCAAGAGACCCATTCTGCTGTTTTTTCCTCACAATTAACACCCAGCCAGTCACAGATCTACCAGTCATTCTCAGTCTTCAATGTCCCTTTCAGAACAGCAAACTGAACAGTGTAAGTAAATAAGGATAAAGGGAGAAATTCTCAGAAATTAAGAAGAATCATCACCTCTATACTGGAACATTTTGTTACTGGCATCTTAAAGCCTCAGAAAATCATCAGTTTTACCAAATGTACCCTTGTAATGAGGTAATGAAGTGCAGAACTTCTATGTAATTAACATGGCCCTTGTTTATACGTTGTGGATCACTGTAGTGGGAGTAAATCCATAGATGAGAGGCTCTGTTGATTCACCAGCTTCCCCTCTTGGACCGCCACCCCTCCCCAACCCCACAACAGTCATTAGAGCCCTAGTTAAGAGCTGCTCATTTAGAGGGACTGTTGAGCTCCCGTCAACCATCATTAGCCCACCGCTTCCTGGCTTTCCCTCCGCTAGCCTCCGCTAGCCTAATCTCTCCAAATGGACAAACCCTGACACAGACACACACGCTTCCTATTAGACACCAGTCAAGTGTTCACATCAAAAGGTTTACAGCCACAGTCTCATTGGAAGGGTCTGGACATCCTCACAGAGTCAGTTTTAGGAATCTGGGGTTATAGCAACCCCTGGACTATATTTTGGCCGGTGTGAGAGGGAAGGAAACAAACAGAAACCATCTGTTGTTGTTTAGACCTGGCTGTGTAAAGGTACTCTGTAAAGTTTCTTGCCCCAGGCAGAGTCACAGCAACATTTCCCTATGTATCTCCACTAATCTCTGGTGCTATTTCAATATGGACGCTTACTCAAATTAAAACCGCTGACAGGCATCAGACAGCTCTCGATTTGTCGTACGTGTCTGGTTCAGCTTAGGTAGCACAGCATACCTATCTTTCTTTGGTAAACAAAGCTGCTGACAAAGTGGAAGTCATTTGACAAGATTTTGACAGCATTTTTCTGCAGCACGGCCATGAAGCAGTGATGAAGAGCTGTGATTACTTACAAAGAAGAGGAGGTTGAAGAGGAACAGAAAGTACTTGGTAACTGTGATGCATCCTTTCCCCATGGCTGTGTTTCTGGAAAACAGAAATTAATTTATTGGTTAAATTAAAATTGCTGTATTGTGTGGCGGCGTGTGAGATAAAAAGAGAAGAAAGACACAAGATGGACAAAAGACACAACAACAAACCAAAGACAGCTAGCCTTGAGATAGCCTTGCTTTAATAGTTGAGTAAGCGGGCTATGGAACAAGGACACAGGAAAATCTGCACAGTTGGGTTCCTGATTAAACACAGCTTTAATCTTCAAAGCAACATCAGCCTAATTCATTTTCAACAGTTATCCAACGAAGGTTAAAGTCAAGGGCAAATGGACTTGGTTAAAGATACTGGAAGACGTTCCGTCCCTCATCCAAAGGACTTCTTCAGTTCCAGAACTGAAGTCCAGTTGCCCTTGACTTTAACCTTCGTTTGGATAACTATGACCTGGATGACTGAGAATCTTCATAGACATCATTTTCAACAGCCACGTTTCTCCAGTCTTAAACAGCCCAACCTGCTCTAATGCCCATTTTTATAAGACAACAATTGGCATGCTGTGTTAAAATATTTGGTTTTACGACAGTATTGGATGCTTATGAAAGCAAGTTTGTTACCAAATATAGGTTTTATTCTTGACAAACAAGAAGAACCACCCTGGTGAGACGGACTGGAGGGAACAGACATCCACAAAGAGTAGTGAAGTCATGATTAGCATGCTATTAGTAATCACAGGCAGATGGAAACTAGGCCCAAGCAACAAGCTTGGTTAGAAATAGCATTTTATCAGTCAATTTTATGAACTATTTAAAGCCAAATGTACAACAAGAGTAGCCTATTTAAAACCATATCCAGCCATATTCAACAGGTCTGGCTAATGTTATACGACCACATAACAGACGACATAACAATCAGTCCATCAAAGGAAGCTGAGAACTGTAGCTTTCTCACATGTTAGGTTCGGTCATGTAACACTGACATCTGCATTGTTTCAGTTTACCACTCACTCATCATCTCTATTTGTGTTTCCCATGTACATAGATGTATATGTGGGCGCACAAGCCTACACATACATTTAGTGACTTTTCTGTGAGTAAAATGTTCCTTTGAGGAAACACCTGTAGTCCAGGCCAGCAACACGTATACAGCAGGGACACTTTATGAAACTCTCTGGCAGCATGATTCTGCCCAGGGCTCCATGAGTCCAAAGAAAATATTTACCACAACCAGACCTTTTTTTTTTTTTTCCTTCCCTTCACTGGGAGCAGTTTTATATATAACCAGCCATTGTGGTTATTTGAGGAGTCTGAAAATATCCTATAGAGACAACTCCCCGTGTATCAGATTACAAGCTGTTCTCTTTTCTGTGTCTTTTTTACATCAAAACTATAGGTTCTTCCCAATGGCAGACCAGGGCCTGTAATAGCGTGTATTTAGCTCTATTTTAAAAAGTGTATACTACTTTTGGAAGCAGAAACCCATGACCTGATGTTTATTGCGTATAATTTCTGAATACAAAAGTCCCATATTTTGCACTGTTTTGTTTTTGATTGATGTCTATTTTTGATTGATCTTTCACTGACTTGTTTCGTAATGGTGGGATTCTTGTTCAGAGAGACAAGCACATGTACGCGAAAAGGAATACTGTGTTATGGCAGAATAAGAGGTAGTAGTAGGTAGGTAGAGTAAAAATTGCAATGTTTCATTAAGCAAACTATCACTTTCTACAAAGACTAATGATGCATTACCAGTTAAATTGCTTTTTGAGTAACCTTGGAAACCCACTAAAATAGCATGCAAATAAAGTTAATTTGCTGACATCTCAGTCCCATGTGACTAGACTTTCATCTTCCCCCGTCAGTTGGTTAGTAAGTGTTTGTGTATAAATGCCTGCCATCTCTTTTCTATATATGCATCATTACAACAGTCTTTTTCCCCTTTAAATATGAAATGGCGTATTTACAAAGACCCGTCTAAAAATGCCATCATGTTGTTAACTGGACAGTTTTTTTCCCAACTACTACTGAGTTTCTTTAATCTCTTCTCTGCTGATGAAAACGCATTGTGTTTTTGTAACAGTGTGTTATTGCAAGACATTGTTACAATATTTTTGTAAGATACTGTTACAGTAATGTAACAACCAGAATAATGGTAATAAAAGCTTAATTTAATCTAATCTTCCCAATTAGATTCATGAGTCAGTAGGAAGAATAAAACCCTGAATGTAATACAATTTGAACTGCTGGAAACCATCATAAGCACTGGTTATTTAGAGTAATCAAATGCAAACATGAACAAGTATTTACTGAACTGTATTACTTGTACTTACTGTACTACTGTCTCAGCTTTATGTAGAGGACACAATCTATAGAGTAGGCCAGTCACAAGTCGGTTACGGTTAATATTACTATTACTAACCACCTATTCTAGCCTATTAAACACAGTTGATAAGCAAACTACCAACAAAATTAGATGTTTACAAATCTGAACATGGTATAAAACCCAAACCAAACAGCAGATACCCCTGCAAAGTACATAATCCTTAAAGGAGATTGTTGGTATTTATATCTTGATGGTGAGCAGCAGTGTGGATTAAAAAAGGCTTAGTTATGACAACCGTTTGTTGGCTGAGCTCTGTCCATCTGAAAACAATTCCTAACAATGCCTCAGTGCTACTTATTATATTTTCAAACAATAAATTAAATAGGCTAACAGACCCAGTCCCATTCATTCTGAAGCAGCCAAGTGACCATATTAAGGTTTGCAGAAATGCCAAACCATAAATACACTCAAATGTTTTGCACATCCTGCAGCCATGGGGCCATTTTATGTTTATTTTTGCTCAACCTACATTGACAAACCCAATCACACTGTCTGTTTTTTTGTGAAAATAAGGACTGGAAAGTGCAATGGAAATTCAAAGTTTAGCCAAATGGCAAATCCAAGAAACAGTGCCATTATAACCTTGTATAACAGCTAACATTCATAATGGTTCTGACATTAAAAGGAAATTGGACATCAGAAAAAGACAAGACTAAGTTCAGGCTTATGGTGCAAAACCCATGTGGAGAAAATAAATTATTTCTCTAAGAAAGCTGCAAATGAGTCACCTGGTCCAAACTCTGTGACCTCATACAGCCATTTCTTCCCTGCGTAGCCCCCGTTTTCCTCCCTGTGGTTTGGCATGAGGTGGGATCACTGTCAAACAGTGTTTGGGGTGCACTAAAGGAGGTGTGCAATTGAACTTAGTATTTGTTTCTTGGACAAAGTGCCAGTACAAAAGCATGGGGAGATAAGAGATTATGTAGACAACATTAGTGGCAGATGGCATCGACTGTGTCTGTAACAGATCCAGCATGGATCAACTGCAGCCCTACTGTATACAAAAAGTCAGGCGATCTGCCAACCTCCATCTACCACCACCTCCTATCATAGTCATATTTGACCCATTTACACATCTGTGAGGCCATCACGCTGACATGAACCTACTCACATCAGCCTAGTACTAAAGCCCTTAATACCATGCAGAATCCTGCTTTAACATTTGCAAAAATGCCATTTTTACACAGAGCACGGTCTAGATCTGCTCTATATGAAAATGCAATGAGATAACTTCTTTTACGGCGCTGTAATTGGCACTATATAAATAAATTGAATTTAAACATCTGTGTAGACATGATATAGCTCACTGTCTACAGTAGGGCTGAATGACATGCAAAACAAAGAGGAAATAAATATTTTAGTTTTCACTTATGTGACTCGTGATTTTTGCTGGGGTCCGTACCAAAAAAGCATGTTCCTTTACGTCTGTAGAATATGATTTGTAGGCTGGGGCATCTCTGTAGCACCTCAATGCTTGATTTATAAATGGCATTGTGACAAATTTTATCTTTATCAAAAACATAGCACCCAGCGAACAGACCCCGGATAAGCAGTTGAAGATGGATGGATGGATAAAAACTATAGCAGCTCCTTGGCCATATTGAGATTTCTGTAATATTAAATATAATATATAAAATTCAGTTTTGTGAGTGTTATTGCAACTTGCAAGGGTGAGGACTAGGCCTGCTAGATCATTTTCGTTATCAAAATACTTTTAACGTCTATAAATGTTTTGAATTATCTCGGTCATACAAAATCTGTAGTCTAAACGGTTCAGTCAAGAAGACACAGATAGTCGACTGATTATGTAAATATAACTTGAAACATCATTTTTTTAGGTCTTCTCCAAAGGTGGTCCATATTGTTGCAAACGACCACGTTCAGTCCTGCCCTAGAAGGGATCAGTTGAGTTGCTTAATAACTTGATAAGCCTCAAAGAATTCTGTGGGATGGAGGGGATATCCCAGTTAGCAATGATGGGACTTGAGTGAAATCCCCCACCTGTGTTCAGTGCCAGGTAACTTCCCAGCATTCAGTGGAAATGATGAAAGATCTGTGGTTACAAGACTAAACACAGCACAACTTGTTTTGACCTCTCTTTTTAATCATTTAGTCTATATACAAAACACAAGGACACCTATCAGCATTTTCCTTACAATATAAAACAGAAAGGAGAAAAAGATGTGGCTTTGGTGAAATGATTTTTCATCTGATTTAAATTACAGAAGGAACACATGTTTCCGTCACAACCAGCTTCAAATGTGATGGAGATACCACTCTATTAACCTCTTGAAGCCCAATTTGTGCATCATCCGTAGCTGCAATGAAACCAGCAATATGAGGCTTTATTCACCAATAGCGTGAGGCTGTGGTGTCCTTGACAGCATCACCAAACTCGCCTACAGTTCTCTACATTGACTTTTCATGACACATCATGTGGATACTTGATGTTAATGCAGTGCTAATAATGTAGTTCTTATAAGTGACAGCAGCTGCCAAATACATGGCTAGTTGAACAGTGATGGTGGCCAATTGGGACATTTCACCAAACCCAAAAGCAAACTCCCACAAATCAGCAAATTCAAATTCTGTCACTGAATAATTGATGACTCAGAAAAAAAAAAGTAAGAGCAGACAGTAACTGAGATTTGAGAATTAATTTTCCTTACTCCAGTAGGTCAACTCAGATGTGAATTTCTGCTTGTAAACCACAATATTGCCAGAAACTTGCACCTTCTTCCAAAACTGTGTTAACTGGACGTGGTCTCTCATTGCTTCTTTTCAGTTTTACCACAAAAAGGCCTCCTTACAGATCACAATGGTTTTCCTACCAATCCCATTAGACACACACAAACACACAGACATATATCCTAACAACAACAAGTTTGAATCCCACAGAACCCTCTGTGACAGCTTTGATCAAGTCCAAGATATGACCCTGACACTAAAATTGACAAAATGTAAAGTCAGTTTTTTCGAAGGATTAACCAAATTAGTTCGATTCATCATTTCAAAGTCGTTATAGAGCGTTAAAGGACGTTAGCTTAAGGTAACGTTAACGTCAACTGTAAACTGACGTGGTCAACTGTTAAATGCTGAAACGTCGACATGTTTGTGTTTCTGTTAGTTTAGTAGAACTTTCTTTCATTAATGGGTTTCTGGAGCTAACGTTACATAGAAAGTTTTCTACAGGCAAAGGGTTGATAGATGGCGGCGGCTAAGTTACAACGACGGGCAACTTTACATATTCTGTCGTAACGTTAATCTAATTTGATTAAGTTACTTGCTAGCTAGATACGTGTAAAAACGCTATCTAAAACTTACTTTGACTTCTTCTCCAAAGTTGGCTGAAGGGTCGGCCGTCTTCTGTCTTGTTTGCTGTGTGACAAACGGTCGCTGGTCAGAGAAACAAGATGTGTGTATGTCTGGGTGGATCTGCGTGTCTGAGAAAATGTTAACACCCCTACCGTGAGGCAAGCATGGTAGCTTTTAACCCTATCCTGTCCGTGATCATGGCCCGCCAAGCCAAATAACTGTAGAGGGAGGCCACACTGGTGCATTTTCTTACTGACAACTGAGTCAGACAAGCTTTTTTGCAACACTATCATGCCATTAACTCAACATGGCTAGCCTTCTTTCGTTGTTGTTCCTCATCCAAACAAACAGCATACTGTTTCCTCCTCATTATTAAAACATGACATCTAATGCCACAAATAATCAGCAGGCAGTGAGCAATTTCTGCCAGACATTAATTTGTAATGTTAGGCCTATCTCTTTAATGCAGTTTACTGATTGTTGTTTACATTACAGGCACAGTATCACTCCATGTAGTAGAATTATTAGCGGAAGTCAGTAGTCAGCAGTAGTAGCCGCAGTCCCTGAGTAACATCCTGTCAGGATGCAGAGACTTCTAAGGTGGTTGCAGCTGCTGTAAACTATAATAACAATTATCAGCTGATGTGAAATGTGGGCCTAATATTTTGTGATTATAGGTGATCATCAGTTTTAATCTGATGATCACATAAAGATAGTTTGGGTATGACTGTTTTGTGAGGAAACAAAACTTTTTAGAGCATAAAATAATAATTCTTGGCCTGTGAGAAAATAATAATAATTTACAGCCATTTCCTGTCACAATGCAAATTTTACTTGAAGATGATCAACCGGTTATATTTCCATGTATGGTGATAATTTAAATTATCCATTATAAGCTATACTAAAATACTGTTTACCACCATGCCTTGCGAAATAAACCAGGACTCAGTATATAGAGTGGAAAGTATGGGGAGAATGCATACACAGGGACAATGGGAGCTTTTTGCCTATAAACAACCTGAACCACACACACATTTCCTGTGCCACACAATCCCCCTTTTCACCCTTTGCCCAATGTGTGTGTAAAGGAGAGAGAGCACACTGGGGAAGGAGAAACATTAGGCAGGAAATTTACAGGAATATGTGGTAGGCTACACAAGGTAAGATTAAATTAAATTCACTTGAAGATAATCATGTTATGACATGAACACCTTCCAAACAGAAAACACTAAACAAAGGGTGAGGTTACATAACAGATCTCTTGTTTCTTTGTTGAGACACGTCAGAACAAAGTTGTGGGTTCTGTTTTGTGGAGCGATGCTTTAAAAAAAAAACAAAAAAACTAGACATTTTGCTGAAGGCACTTCCGTAAGGCATCCTGTTCCAGGCTGTTCCACACTGTTGGCTATCAAATCAGTGTATGTATATACCTGTGGCGGAAAATCTCACCCTTGCTGCTGGGCATCACTTATACAACAAGTTTCAAGAACATTTGGCTTTGAGTGGAGTTACACTGGATGTTTTGAGTGTGTGGAACGTTTTTCTCAACCTTATGATAACCAATGTCTAAACTGGATATTTCTGGTCTTTCAGTATGTTTGTGTAAGTGGTTGATTTGTCAGATTTTTAAGTGACTACCTTTAACATAATGTGAACATATTATCATTTAAGTAGACAATTGAGGTTCCATGTAGCTGCTTAATAAGTGATACAATTTACATCAGAAATCACCACATCCTTACTTTGACTGTTTGACATTACATTTTGATGATTTGAAGTTGTGGGCTGCAGTATCTAGCAGGAACTGTACTAAAGCTGAAACAATTAGTTGATTAATTAACAGAAGATTAATCTCCTATGGCTATTTGGATAGTCAATTCATCATTTTAGTTAACTGTCAAATAAAAATACCAAATAATCTCTGGTTCCAGCTTGTAAAAAAATGAGGATTTGCTGATTCTCTTTGTCATATGTGACAGTAGGCTGAATATGTTTGGTTTTGAGACTGACAAAACAAAACAAGGAACTCTAAGATATCACATTGTGCTTTAGGAAATTGTGTTTGTGGGAAATTGTGATTTTTCACTATTTTCTCACATTTTATAGACCAAACAATGAATTGATTGAGAAAATAATCAGATTAACAGTTTATTGCAGCCCCAGAAAAGACAAGGAACAAAGATGATTACTTTTGAAGTCTTCAAAGTAAACAATAGTGTCCTTTATTTCAAACTAAATAGTGGAAATCAATAACAATTTATTTTGAATATAGCACATATATACATAAAAACACAATGCTACAACTTTAAACAGTTTGACCTGGTTTGCTATTCACAACAGTACAAATATCTGTATGTTGGATCTACATCAGGGAACATATACTGTAGCTCAACTTACCAATGTAATATTTTGACTAATTTACGTCGGAGAACCAGGAGGATGAAAAGCTTATTTCTTTGCCCCCCCCCCCCCCCCCAAACACTGCCCATCTCTCCTAAAATAACCCACTTTACAGACCTTTGAACATTTCCCAAGGCTGATGATTTGAGGCCAGTAGTATTGACGGAAATGGAACGACATTTTTCTTGAACTCCATAATTACCATGCTAGCCAGGACAGAGCAGTAGGTTGGTGCACACAATGTCACTTGGGAGAGCTGCATCTAATTAAACGCTGGAGAAAGGATAATTACAACTTCTCAGGAGTACGGGAGACCTCACCCATGTTTCACGTTCCCTATCTGAACTGAAGGCTCACCCAAGTAACAAGCACATCTGCCTTCAGTGCTGGAATCACAACTGCAAACCCTCAATCACTCTGACCTCAGGACCACTCCCTTCTAGGGCAGGACTGAACGTGGTCGTTTGCAACAATATGGACCACCTTTGGAGGAGACCTAAAAAAATGATGTTTCAAGTTAAATTTACATAATCAGTCGACTATCTGTGTCTTCTTGACTGGCCTTGCAGAAGAGTATGACTTGCAGCTGGCACATCTCTAAAACGCTGAGCTTACCTGAGGGCGTGCTAAGAATTGGGAGGTAGAAAATGTATTGAATTTACTTAATGGATAAAAACTGTTGGGTTATAACCGTTTTAAAGCACGTATAGTTTAACTGTCCTATAAATGTATGTTTTTAGGCTTTTAGCTTGTGCATCCATTCACCACAATTTACCATCTTAATTTATCAGCCTTGCGATCTAGTTAGTGGCAGTCTGCTACACAGTTAGAGCTATTTATTGTGCTGGATTTCATTGCATGCATGACGTCTAAAAAAAAAACACACGTCACTTAAATAGGTACAAAATAAGACATGCCGAGAGAAAGATCAACCTTTGAAAATCATTGAACTTATACTGAACAAGTTCCCTGTTCGGTTCACAAGAACACCACATAATAGTAAATACTTTTATTTACATTTATACTGGTAAGATGCAGTGTTGATGACACTTTTAAGCAGTTTTAAGGCAAGGCTAAGGATATGGTCAATGTAAAAAAAAAAAAACACTGTGCTACATCACTAAAGAGGAACTAGCTCAGATTTGTTAGCCCCACACACTGACATGCTCGGCTTGTGATACTAGACTTACAATAAAGGTCAAAATATTAAATACTTCCTGCCTAAAGGGTGCACACACAACAAGGAGAAAACTACACTGCTTCTCTTGTAAGAGTGAGTTCCCCTGTGCATTTATCAACGTTACATTTAGTAATCTCAGTAGTGTAAATATTCTGTACAAAACAATACCTATTCACTTTGGTAGAACTTCTTGACTGATACCTCAAGGAATAAAAAAATTGCTTCGTCCCTGAAAAACGTTAATATTCAGCATTTCTTTTGGGGTAGTCAAAATCTGATTGATGATGGGCATGATTGAGAGTAAAAACTGACCTTTAGGAGTTTCCTCGGTGTGCTAAGTTTAGCTTATCTGATTTCACCTGAATCTTACACTAAGCACGGTTAATGCTTTATCCATTCAATGTGTTCACCGGAGAGCTGTCAGAGAAGCATACAAGGGCACAGATATTCAGACTTTCACTTTAGCATACACACAGAGTTAACATAAACAGCATCAAACCCGAAACACAATTATAGCACAAACTCATGGTTCTTGAGCTTGATTAAGTAGTGGTGTCAAGATGCAACATCTCGACAGATAACACTAAATACCGAATCTGGAAATCATGTAGCTGTACATGAACAACATAGTTGGATGTTTGAAATCACTCTGTACTGTACATATTAAATCATAGGTCACACGAGAACGCAATGCATTACTTCTTCTTCTTTATAATGACAGCACTCAGAAGTGCACAAAGGAGGAATGTGTGTCAAGAGGGTCTTGACCTCACAGCCCAGTGAAAGAGTAATTCATGTTCACTATGAGGTTTCTTGTTCTTGATGTAGAGTCTGGAATGTGAGCCTGTGCTCATCTGTTGAATACTGAGGGTTATAATAGGCTGGGTCCCATGGAAGGTGTCAGAGGGCATCCACTCGCAATGTAATGCTCCAAGCCCAATTAAATAATATTCCAAACCTTCTGACCCCACGTTTGTGATCTGTGCTCAGCTGTCCCCTCCCTGGAAGTATCACAGTCATTTCAGATCTTCTTCGGCTTACGGCCCAGGTGGTAGTAGTAAGCCATGGTGACCACCAGGAAGAGCACTCGACTGAGGAGCAGGAGGATGGCAGAATTGGGCAGGATGCCAATCTCCATTAAGGTGATGGATGTCACTGAAAGCACAGAGCAACATTTAGTACTTTACATTTCTAAAGATCTTTATTATAAGCACAATGCACATTGCACATGGTATTCCCTGCATTATTAAGCTAAAAGGATAGGTTCTGTCGCAAAACAATACTCAAATGAGTTATCTGTAGCTGCAATTGTGAGTCTGTGTTAAACAAATCAAGTGGGTATCATTTAAAGTTTGTCTTTTTAGTAAAAATTTCCCTGCTTGTGTCTCCCTGGTCAGTGTTTCTTTCCTGAGCTGGTTGGAGGGATTTTGTACTGTAACTTTAGAAGAAACCAACTTGATTTGCAACTGCTGAAGCCTCATTAGCTTGGAGGTAATTTTTCCTCATAACAAAGTCTAGCAAATCAAAAATAGTTTCAATGTACATACAGGAATGTTAGTGTTGTTTTAAGATAGACTTGAA